TTTTTGCACCCTCAGATTCCAGATTTTCAAATAGTTGTATCTCGGCCAAATATTGTCCTATCATAACAAACCATACATCAATGGAAAGCTTTATTCAGCTTTCAGATGATGTATAAATCTCAGTTTCGAAAAATTGACCCTTATGACTGGTTTTGTGGTCCAGGGTCACATATAATGAATCAGACTTTTTATGTTTTTGTAAAAAAGTTTTTATTTTAAATTTAAAGTTTTTGAAATGTTGTTGTGTGTTTGCCATTTTTATTATTTTTTTTGTCTTCATAGTTTTTAGTAAATTTTAGTTTTAGTTAATTTAGTTTCTGTTATTCTAGTACTTTAAACACAAATGATAAATGTTGCCTTGGTATCTAGGTGAATTAAAATAAGTTGAAGTTTTTTTAATATTTTAGTTTTCAGTTAATGTTTATCTTATGAAAAAATTTTTTTAATGGGTTTTAGTTTTAGTTAATGATAATACTCTGATTTGAATCCCAAATAACTGTTAGAAATGGCTCCGTAAGTTGCATATGTGTAATATTTGCTGTTTATGGTATCCTCAAAGTGTTTATTTGCATATTTAGCTACCCAGCCAATCACTTTGGCACTCTGACGGGCTTGCAGTCCATGATCAGTGCTGTGTTTGCCCTCCTACAACAACCACTCTTCATGTGGATGCTGGGACCATTGAAGGGTGATCCTTATTGGGTGAGACAAACACATTGTTGAGTATAATACACCATTCATGTGCAAAGCAAATGTGCATTTGTATTGTAGTGTAGTGCAGGTCAACAGAATCAAGATTTTGGACAAAGTACCAAACATAACACTTTTTGAATCAACAGATCAACTTGGGCCTGCTTGTGTTCTCATTGGTTGGATTCCTGCTGCCGGGATACCTCTTCTACCACCAGAGACAAATTATAAAGGAGAAGGCAGTGCTTCATAGTCTGTCAATGAGCCAGTCAGCGCAGGAGAGCAACAGCCTCAACCAAACAAATGATTCAGCAAAATATCAAACGAACGGGAACGTCTGAGGTGGAAAACATTTAGGATTGAGGTGTATGTGAATTATACACCTGATTTATGAGTTATTATATCATGGCACTTCAGAAACGGAATTATCGGACTTCGTGTTCAGTCACTGTTGTTGAGTCTTGACAAATATAAAACAGTGTTAAAAACAAAGCATCAGTCAAGGCTTCGACTGTGTGACTGGGCAGGATGTATTTTCAAGGCTTTTATTATCAATCAGAAAAACATTATGCCATGACCTACAATATATAGTTTGCAGTTTTCTTCAATTATTATTATTGCATTGACACTTTGAGATGTCCATTAAAATGGTAGCAGAACCAGAGGTTAAATATGATCAAAAACATCGAAACGTCCTTCCGTGAAGCACCTCCTGCCTCGAAACTTTTGTTAGTCAGTATGAATCAAAATTTGCTCTATTTACTTTAAGAAAACCACAGTGTTATTGTGCACAATTAATCAGTGCATTTTATACCAAAGACAATCATTTTGTGTTCATAATCTTTAATCAAAACTTGATCTAACTTGCTGAGATATTATAAAAGGGAAACTTGACCTTCAGTCTCCATGTCTCCATCAAAAAGCCTCCTTGAAAGTCTATGCCGGAGTTTTCAGGAGAGTAGCTCACAAATGACTGTGAACTTGTATTCTATCATGTTATGATCTTTATTATGAATGTGCAGGACACAGACATTTTCAAATTCACTAGTATGCGCATTTAAAAATGTTTAAACAATGCTCGCCATTTACGGAATGTAGAGAATGTAATGTTTTTCTACCAGGTGAACCTCATCCTCCTTCAAGACTCAGGTAAATGAGGCAGGGCTTCATGTAATGCTCACTTTACCTTGACATAGATTTTTTTTGCCATCCCTCTCTCACAAACCTGATGAAAATGCAGCTTTATATGACAAATACAGATGATTCATTTTATTGCAGAGGCCAGTTTTGCACTATATTCGCTGTTTCAAAAGTGCTGTTCTGTATGTTACAGAACTGTAATCATGTTATCGGTTTCAGTGATTCTAATGATTGTTCAACATAATGGTGCTTGTACTGTGCTCACGACTGTAAATATGCCTGAAAGAAAAAAAAATGCAAATATTTTTTCACAAATCAGCCCATTTCTCAGCTGATTGTTTTATTTGTAAAAAAGGTTTTAAAAAAGTTGAATGAAAAATGATTCATCGTACTCATAAATAGACACAGAGGCACTAAGACACTTACAAATATAACAGATGCGATGGTTACCAGGTGTTCTGGTACATTACATAATGATATACTCTCACACTATATACACACATATCTGAGTCACTGTAACATTAAATCTGTGACATCCCAGAAAAGGCCCAATTGTCCAGCTTGTGCTTCTCTTCATCTTGTTCCTCTTGTTTTTCTGCCATTGAGGCAGTTTTTTATCTCAGACTGCTGCTGCTGGGCTGAGCTCCAGTCATGCCTGGGTGATCAGGGCTGTGGCGATTCTGAACATGGAGAAATAACAATATTGTATTTATCAGAGATATATCAGGTGTACTATTTATCACAATTGAATTAATATTGTATTAATGTATGAACAAATCAAAAACATACTCTACTGTTAGAAGCTTTACGGTATGAAATTAATACTTTCTTGTACCAAGGATGCATTAAATGTATCAAAAGTGACAGTAAAGACATTTGTAATTTTACAAAATATTTTTGATCATTTTTGATAAATGCAGTTCTATATTTCTATTAATCAGAGAATAATGGTTTCCATAAAAATATTAAGCAGCAACGCTATTTTCAACATTGACAATAATAAGAAATGTTTCTTGAGCAGCAAATCAGTATATTAGAATGATTTCAGAAAGGATCATGTGACACTGAAGTAGAGATGCTGAACATTCAACTTTGCCATCACAGGAATATATTACATTTTAAAATATATTGAAATATGTACTTCACATTGTAATAATATTTCACAACATTACTGTTTTACTGTATTTTTGATCAAATAAATGAGCATAAGAGACTTTAAAACATTTAAAAAATCTTACTGAGCCCAAAGTTTTTGAACAGTAGTGTAGAAGAGTTCTTATAAATTAAGGCCAATTGTAATCTGTACTGTCATATGAAGACCATAATAACTCAAATTAACCTTTTTCTTCTTCTTATCTTTCTTCTTTTTCTTTCTGTCTGGGTCATCGTCCTTCTTTTTCTTCTTCTTCTTATGGTCTGAATCTGACGGAGTTTCTGTGGTAAAGACGTGAGTTTGACAGTCAAGATTTAAGAAAGCAAACGTTCGTTTCTTTGTGTGTTTGTGTTTGACCGTCACCTGGCGGTAAGGGATCCTGAGGCCGATGATGTTTATGCTTGTGTTTGTTCTTCTTCTTCGGTGGTTGAATGTGCATCAGTCTGTACTGCTCTGGTAACTTTGTCAGGACAGAGAGAGTCAATAAATCTTGCTTGCAAAACAACAACAAACGTCTGACCCACATAACCATTCGCTACCAACGCTGTCTAAGAAAGACATCGACAAACCTCCGAGTACAGTCAAAGTAGAGGCAGCATCAGTTACACTTGCCTCCCTAAATGCAAAGGGGATCCTTCTTTAGCCTCTATCACAAACACACACACACACACTTACAGGGCCAGTGTGTAGCCTGAAGCCGGTGAGCATAGCCCCAGTGAGAGGACTGAACGAGTTGTTGCACACTGGCGGCTTCTCAATGACAGATCGCAGAGAGCTGTTGTCCTGAATGCCTGGGCTGTCGATCATACCTGGAATACAGAAGGATCAAAAAAACTATGTAGTTTCAATACAGGCAGTGGCGGATAGTTAAAGGGATAGTTCACCCCAAAATAATAAAAAGAATGTTGGTAACCAAACAGCTGACGGTAGCCATAGACTTCCATAGAATTTTTTTTCATACTATGGAAGTCAATGGCTGCTGTGAACTGTTTGGTTACCAACATTCCTCAGAATATCTTCTTTTGTGTTCAACAGAGCAAAGAAGCAAATGGAGGGTGAGTAAATGATAACAGAATTTTCATTTTTAGGTGAACTATCCCTTTAAGGTTCTAGAACCACTGTAAAATCGGCAGTGAAAGGTAAAAGTATGCATACACACCAGGAAGCTCTGGAAGGAAGTTGCTGAGTTTCTCCTTCACCTTCTTTCCGCAGAACTTGTTATAAGCGTGCTCCAGGTTGTAGTGTGTGATGAGATTAGTGTGTCCTGTCAGCTCATTCTCCACTGTGAAGACATGAGTGTTAACCGGTTCATAAAGGTGACATAAACTCTAAAATAACCCACTACCATTACAAAATTTACCATGGTAACATCTTTTTGACTCCAAGGCTGATTGGTTTCCTTTGGTAAATCTGCTGTAATGACTATGTTTTGTTTCATCATAGATTACAACAAGTACCTAACAATAATTAAAATTAAAATAATTAAATAAAGTTTTAAATGCAAAATGTTCTTCAGGGATCCCACTATTTTTAACCAATATATAGCTAGCAGAACAATATGTAATGTATATTCATGATAAAAAAATGGCCAATTAATTGTAAGATTTTTTAATTAATATTTATTAAATTACATGACTTTTCCACTCTGAGAAATCACACTTTTTTTTTTTTTTTTTTGTATCTTATTTTAAAGCTTGTTTTGTCTCAAGAGGCCCTCTTGGAAGTTTGCTGAGGCCCTCTAGTGGCCCCGGCTCCCTGGTTAAAAACTATAAAACAAAATACAACCATTATTTTTTAATAAAATCAAAGCCATAACAAATGAATAAGTGATTTTCTTTTCATTTTATTATATTTTTGAGTAACAGTGATTACAATAGTGTTAACTATTGTTACTAGGGTAATGGCATGACATATATTGCATGGTATGGTCCTATGCATGGCCGGACTTACCATTGGGCTTGAGTGAGCTGCAGCCCATGGGTCCCGCCTTTGCCCATTTACGTTTGTTTGATTTGTTTGTTATATGCCAGTCAGTATTCAGAAATTATTAGCCGCATTTCCACTGCGCACGCAAGATCTAAACGGGCCAGCCAGGGCTACAGCTTACAACTACGACCTTCGAGGCCACAATCAAACAGCATAAGCTGGTATTTATGATTATTTCACATAGAAGAAGGACACACGTATTGAATCGCGTCTGCACCGTTTGGTTTGTTATCACATGGCTACTTTAAACAGCTCCATTAAGCCTTTAGCCCCAAAAGAGCGCACATTTAGAAGGATAATGATAAATTCTTAAATGTTCACACCTCATATCTTTACAGAGGATGATTCTATATTACTATATTAATGTTCCACTAAATGATGCGATCATCTGATGAGTTTTGAGCGCTCTCTCTCGTCTTACTGCCATTACACATAGGCCTAGTGAGGAAGAAATGTAATCAATATGATTTTAAATAAAACAATAGCAATTTAATGAGTTTCTGTTTTTATAACACAGCCATGCCTATGATACAGGACTTAGCCTATCACACAAACAGGAGTCCTGCTTTTTTCTCAAATATCTGCACGATCGCTAATGTACAATAAACAACAACTTACAGAGTAACTTTCAGACACAAAATTCCGTTTTGCTCCGCTAAGTCCTGCCCTGGTACTATGGTTACCATGGTATTCTTTGAATTACCATGTAAATACCTGGGTACATGCTATACAATCACTCTAGAATGACGCTGACACTGACACAGTACTTTATTATATATTATTACGACGAAATCAATAATATCCCCAATATTAAAATCACAAAGAGGCGCTCACTGGGCAGTTCTCGCAGCAGGTAGAAGGGCTCGTTCATTGCGGCGGGGTTTCTGATCGGACCCCCTTCATCCACCATCTGATGCGGGAAACACATCGGGCCCATGTTTTGGGGTACCTGAGGTTTCCCAGATCCAAAGCCAAGCGCAGAGGGCCCTGCTGGACCCTGTGAATCAGGCTGACCATACAGAGAGAAGATTTCGGTCATGATGGCAAAATTACACTACGATGTTATTACTGTGTGGGCGTTTATCTCGGCTTTGCTACTGCAGAACGACGATCTGTTGACAATTGCTTCCGGTTGTTTGGGGAAACTTACCGTAATTTATCAAGTACGTGATCTTATAGTACCCAGTTCCAAAACTGCACCAAATAGACTCATATAATGCGCCCTAAAAATGCATTATATTGTATACTACTGTAGTTTATCTGCGTAAATAATTATATAAGATGAGACAAATAATTAACGTTTCTCGTTGCGGCGGGTTTTCTGATCGGACCCCCTTCATCCACCATCTGATGCGGGAAACACATCGGGCCCATGTTTTGGGGTACCTGAGGTTTCCCAGATCCAAAGCCAAGCGCAGAGGGCCCTGCTGGACCCTGTGAATCAGGCTGACCATACAGAGAGAAGATTTCGGTCATGATGGCAAAATTACACTACGATGTTATTACTGTGTGGGCGTTTATCTCGGCTTTGCTACTGCAGAACGACGATCTGTTGACAATTGCTTCCGGTTGTTTGGGGAAACTTACCGTAATTTATCAAGTACGTGATCTTATAGTACCCAGTTCCAAAACTGCACCAAATAGACTCATATAATGCGCCCTAAAAATGCATTATATTGTATACTACTGTAGTTTATCTGCGTAAATAATTATATAAGATGAGACAAATAATTAACGTTTGTGTCAGTGACGCATGTCAAAATCGTCGCTGGGAGTTTATTTATTACGGTAAAGAAAAAAAGCGACACACTTCCTCTTGTCCTTCCCTTTATGTGACATCACGACCAATAAGCGACGTCGTTTCAGGAAAGTGACCAATCAATGGGCGCGCTATAAAGAGGCGGGCGGATTTTTTCTTCGTCCGCAGTGACCTCTGTCCCTTTAAATCGTTTAAGTCATTTGCCGACGAATATTGTATCGCATTGATGCGAATTCTGCTGTCTCGGATCACCGCAGCACTCGTTTTCTAAAAATTAAAAAGAAGAATGGCATTATTAACAGCTCTCTTCGCGTTTCTGTATCATTTGCCGCAGGTTTACAAATGGCTACTAAAGCCATACTACATCGCCTCGTTATTTATGTCTATCGCGTTCCTGCTTGTCCGCAAAACGCCTGGGATCTGCGAACATCTTTCGACGCAGCGCGAGGATGGAAATTCATGCGATTTTGACTGGGTATGTATAAAGCAGACCTTTGGGGTTTAACACATGATTAATGATAACGGATACAGCTAACCTGCTTCGTAACAAGGGGACTGGGCAGTGGCCAGCAGAATTTGGGGGTCTATATTTAGCTGGCAAGAAAACAAGCCCAAATCACGGTAAAAAAGTTCGGAATACCATACATAAAAATAATGCATGTGGAAATAAGTAAATGGGCAACGTGTCCCACGTGTGGTGCATCTGTATCATTCACTGTTGTGTCTTTATATTTATTTATGATAAAAATATGGCACACAGTGGGTTCCAAAACCCTGAACAATACAGCAAAAGTGGGTAAATCTGGGCACTGTTAAATTCACAGAAATTTGTAGGATTTTGAAACAATAAAAGTGAAAGCATATTAAAACTGTACTATATAATTTAGTATAATTTATAAGGTATTTATAATATA